GTTTGGTCAAGGTGAAATTTCAACAGTTCTTAGCACCTGTAAGCTAGGATGCATTTTTTTGATGAGTGTTATTTGGACAGTAAGGGCCAAAAAAGAAAAAAAAACTTCTCTATTTTTAGCTTTTCTACTTCTGCTGTGCTCTGCTTGCCATTAAATCGTGAAACATACAGAGAGCCAATACAAGCCAGGACAGTGCAGGGGAAAGTCTAGTTTTAGATGGATGTGCTCCGACTATCCCATTAGTTACCAAGGTCCTAACACAGCCAGTCTCCAGAACCATACAAGCGGATCCTGAGGGGGTTAGGGGGGTCTTCAGATGTAAATATATTTGAATTGAGGTCTTCTCTGACAACATAGCTTTGGAGCCTAGTGAAAAATCAATTGTGCTTTTTTAAGGATCTTTTTAATGTCAGAACTCCACTGTGAAATGGGCTCCCAGGAGACGAGGCTCACTGCCTCTTTCTGTTCCTCCTCTCCCTGGGTTCTGTTGCCAGGCTTGGTCTTGGTGATGTCACTGCTATATTAAAAGGAGACAACTTGAGGGTCTTGTGACTATGGGTGCCCAGAGTCACCGGCTTGCCTTGGCTGAAGGTGATGACCCATGTCTGGACTCCATCATTTGGAAATCAGTGTTGTCAGGAGGCACTGTGTAAGGAAGAGCATAGAGAACAGTTCCTAGAGTAGCCCTTGAGTTTCAGGAAAGTGTGGCTGCAAACAAGGCCAGAGATGTCCATGCTGCCTTTCCGGAACAGCCTGCCTACCAGTGAGGGGGACCAGATTTCTGTCTCCACACATCCTTAAAAGGTGTTTGTCATCTGTAACTTGGACTAGGGGGATGCTGAGCATCTCAGTGCAGGGAGAGCTCTGGGCATGTGACCCTCCATTCATTGCAGATGGTGAGAATGAAGGAAAAGCAAGGCTTTCCCAGTGCAGCCACTGACTGGAACCTGCTTTGAGATGCAAAGGGGATTAAGGTGTAGTCCCATACTTCAAGAGACAGGCAGTGTGGAGGGGGACCTGACGCAAAAAGTCAAATATCAAGGACATGGTAAAAGACCTGTGAATGAATCCGTAGCGTGAGGAACCAGTGGACCTCGCAGCAGATGTGGGAGAAGGTGTCTCAGGTATCCTTTCATCTGCTCTTTCTCAGATGAATGGACAAGAGGGCGAGGAAACAGGATGGAAAACAACAGGAATACACATTCCTGTGGCACAAAGTGCATGACCCTGCTTGCAGCCTATGAGCTTGTCTCTCCCCGTAGCAACACCTGGTTGTTGTCCATGTTGAACAAAGGAGAAACCCCGGACTTGGTGAGCCTTAAGGTGCTGTCTAAGATCTCCCAGCCAGAACCATGCAGGTTGATCCAGAATCCAGGTTGGCAACCACTGGTGCAACATGAATTCTCACAATCTCTATTCTGAGGTTTCCAAGGGTGAAACTTACAGTCAATTTGGAGATCAAGAGGATAAAGCAATAGTTTTCTTCCTGCTGCAAACATTCTTATGTGTTTCCATAAGAGTGAATATCTGATATTCTGCCAGCTCTTCTTTCAGACCAGAGATGGTCTCCCCAAGAAACTGTTGAATTTATCTGGACAATAAGATGCTGGACTCTATGCATGGTACATACTTGTAATGAAGGAATCATGACTGGATTTGAACTATGATACTACAACAAAGTGGAGGAATCCACCATGGGGAGAGGGCACGGGGAGGGGTTGAGGGAATCCCAGAGCCCATGAAACTGTGTCACAAAATGAAATTTTACAAAGTGTGAATATCTGAGTAAAAATATAAAAATATCCAGTGACGGGACTTGGCATAGTGGCACAGCAGTTAAGCTGATGCTTGAAACACCAGCAACCCAGAACAGAGAGCCTAGTTTGAGTCGCAGCTACCCTGCCTCTGATCCAGCTCCCTGATAATGCACCTGGTAATGCCTTTCAAATAAATAAATTAACTTTTAATAATGTCCATTGACCAAGACAGCCACTATGTGCTGAGAGACACCGAGATGGCTTTGTGAAGAACAGTGGTTCTGAGTCTTGATGATTTACCTCACCGATTGCCATGTTGCCATGGAAAGGTCCTCTTGTGAAGCTCTGCAGAGCAATTAGCAGAAACACAGTGTATGCAAACTTAGCATGTGTTTTTTTTTATTATAAATCACTGTCCTCTAACTTTAAAATATTGATGGTTTTTGATACTTTGCTTGGTGGTAGCATGTCATGATTGATGTGTAATTGGAGCGTAGGGAGTGGTTTCTGTCTACAAGCACAGTGCAGTAGAAAACCACTTATACAAGAGTGCATGTGAAATTGTGTGGAACAATGCAGTTGAAGATAACTTTATTTTGGTCTTAAAGAAATGAATCAGGGGCCCTCATTGTAGGAAGGATAGCCCATATCTGAGTGCCAGGTCAAGACCACTGCTGTGCCTCCAATCCACTGCCTGCTAATGCACCTGGGAAAGCAGCAGAAAATGGCTCCGCTGCTTGGACCCCCGCCATCCATGTGGGGGACCTGAATAGCATTCATGGCTCCTGAGTTTCAGTTGGACCGAGCTCCAGCTGTGGCCGTTTGGGTAGTAACCAAACAGATTGATGATCTCTCCATCTCCCTTTCAGATAAATGAAGGAATCCTCAAAAAAAAATGGAAATCCACACAGATTTTTCCATCACGTGCATTTTCCACAAGCTTTTTGATGGTCATTTTTATGCATGGAGTTGAATGTCTTCTTGCATCAAAATGAACTTACGTTTTAACTCCATTTCCCATGAACCTCTTGAAGAACCCTTGGTTAGGAACAAACTCATGTCTTTATATCAGATGATTGGGAAATCATATATCAATTGCTGTGTACCAGCCTCCTTGTACACTGTAAGAATAATCAAATAAACCCATGAGTTGTACTGGAGTGATTTATAGTCAAAGCACCGTACCTATCTGGCCACATGCTGAAGATGATTTGCTTCCAGAGTATCATTTGTGGAAGGCAGGAATTTCAGTCACTTGTAATATGCTTGCATATACCCAGCAAGGTCTCCACAATGATATTGTTATTAAATGTAGGCAATTTTTTAAAAGATTTATTTATTCATTTATTTTTAAAACTTTTATTGGAAAGGCAGATCTAGAGAGAAGGAGAGACAGAGAGAAAGATCTTTCCATCAACTGGTTCACTCACCAAGTGGCTGCAAAGGCCAGAGCTGAGCTGATCCAAAGCTAGGAGCCAGGAGTCTCCACCAGATCTCCCATGTGGGTGGAAGTTCCCAAGGCTTTGGGCCATCCTCTGCTGCTTTCCCAGGCAATAAGCAGGGAGCTGATTCACATCCCCAAGTGGCCACAATGACCAAAGCTGAGCAGATCTGAAGGCAGGAGCCAAGAGCTTCTTCTGGGTCTTCCACGCAGGTGCAGGGTCCCAAGGCCAACTGGGTCATCATCCTCTACTGCTTTCCCAGACCAAGAGCAGGGAGTTGGATGGGAAATGGAGCGGCCAGGATATGAACTGGCACCCATATGGGATCCCGGTGGTTGCAAGGCAAGTATTTAGCCACTAGGCTACCATGCCAGGCCCTAAATGTGAGTGATTTTTTTCTATATTTATTTTACATTTTAAAGATTCTACTCTGCAATTTATATTTTATATCAGAAATTATAATATATTATGTGTCTGTTTTCATACATATGGATTCTTATTTTAAAAAACAGAATATAAACAAAATAAAGAACCACATAATTATTGACTTGCATTACACCACACTTTACAACTGATTTCTGATTAGCAAATTAATACAACCTCCAATGTGAGTGATTTCTAAAAACGCATTTTGGGAGGCTTCATATTAAATAGCCTTCAATCCCACAAAAAATGAGAAACCACTGTCTTGTGCATCCTTTGGTCCTAAAAGCTGCAAGAAATCCCTTCCACACTTGCATGCCCTGGCTCTCGTTCATTATGCAAACCCTTGCCTTTCCCGTTGCTCACTCTACCTAACACAATTCTAATAAAGTTTTTGCATGGCGGTGATGCCAGGAAAGCCAAGGACCCAGGAAGCTCAACTGTTACTCTGCCCTGTTGTCCCTTCAGTTGGCCACTGGTTACTGGGAAGAATTGGCCAGGTGCCCTATGGCCTCACAGTGGTCCAGTCGCCTGACGTCTGGCCTGCCCTGCCCATAGCTGGCTCAGCCCTCAGTCACAGGATCCACTTTGCAGATATTCAGAACTGCCGTCTGCCACACAGGGGTTGTGTAAGTGGAAACCGCCCACCTCGCCTTGTTTTTAGAGATTTCAACACTCCTTTCCTTTGAGCTGTTTTCATCTCCCTTCTTAAAGCAGTCGTTGCTCCCTGCAGACCACTGATCTCCAGCAAAACCTTTCTATTCCTTTCCGCAATCGCGTGATTCACTGGCACAGGTGGGCTGCATGATTTTAATGATTTTGGAAATCATGCTGGTAAACGGTTGAGTCATTTGAGGGTTTTTAAGATGAGGTATGAAGCCGATTAATCTTTTAAGAAATAACGTGGCCTGGATGTGAGGTAATGAGAGGAAATTTTATAATGGGATGATACTTTAATAGGAAAATGTGGGTTTTTTTTTTCTTTAGAGACTTGTACTGAAATATTAATGAATGAAATATTATGCTATTTGCAATTTGCTTTTAAGTGCTTTGGTAAATGGATGTATGGGAGAATCTGACAAAATGTTTATGGTTGTTAAATCTAGGTGAGGCTGCATGAACATTTTTAATACAATTTGCTCTGTTTTTCTGCATCTTAAAAAAAATTTTTTTTAATTGTAAAAAGGTAGAAATAAATCCCTGTGAAAGTGGGTCCTCTAGGGAGTTGGACTGGAGGGAGGTAGGAAGCAAGCCAGTGAAGAGCGGAAGGCAACGCTTCAGGTGAACACTGACTGGTAATGAGTGGAGCTGACCCTGTGCCCTGAAGATGCATTTGGGGGTGGACTAACAGGTCTCTTGTCTCCCCTCATTCCCACAGTCCAAAGTGCTTCGTGAAAAATGGCTGCTGCAGGGTGTACCCGCTGGAACTGCCGAAGAGGAGGAAGCCAGGAGGCGGCAGTCTGAGGAGGATGAGTTCCGAGTCAAGCAGCTGGAAGATAACATTCAGAGGTAAGCAGCTTCCAGCATCACCACCCCTAGCTGTGGCTTTCCGGTGCAATAACCACTAGTTCCTCTAGGGGCGCTTGTCCACGCAGCTACCGGTTCCCTTTAGAATCTCGCCCTGACTGGTTCCGTGTTAATACTCAGAGTAATGTTATTGTACCAGAGTGGAATCCAGTGCAGCGATGTCTTCATGGGCCACTGAGGTGGTGAGCAGCCTGCCCCTTTACTGAATTCCCCTACAGAGTCTGCTCCCCCCTTGAGTAAGTTTGTTCACTGTTGTTATGCTGGCGTAGCAGGTGTGTTTTCAGAATTGCTGCATTTAATCAGTTAGAAATGGGGACCCCATAGCCCAAGGTCATGGAGCTGAGATGAAGGATGCAGAAGTACTGAGTGAGGGCCCTTCTGTAAAAATGAACTGTGTGGCATCTACACTCACTGCTCTGACGAGCGTGAACTTGATTTGTGGTTCTCAGCCAGGGTGTTACCTTAATGTCAATGTGGGAGAGAAGTAAGCTGCCCATGGCCAGTGGCTACCCAGGCTCACACAGACGCAAAGGCATGGATTTCCACATGGGAGCAAGATGCCCTCCCGGCCCAGGACACTTGGCCTGAAAAAGGAGCTGGGGGTAGAGGGAGTGCATGCAGGGAGGGGCATCTACCCCTCCAAACCAGCTGACCACCTGTGCCTGATATCTCACCCTCCTCTGCTTCCTGAGGCCGTGCGCTCCTTTCAGACACACTAGGTAATAGCTAAACCACTTATCAGTCACTTATACACTGGAGCAAGTGGAGACAGAGCACCCCCGGAGCCCACTGGTGTCACTAAAGGGGAGGGCAGGCACACTGCAGCCGGTGACCCCACTTTACAAAGGTCCTAATGTCCTTTCAAGAGTGTTTGGGACAGCTTGGTTAAACTGCTTAGTGAGAGAGACCAGCCAAGAAGGTTTGTGGGGTAGAAGTGATTGTGTGTGTGTGTGTGTGTGTGTGTGTGTGTGTGTGTGAGAGAGAGAGAGAGAGAGAGAGAGAAAGGCACTTTTTCTTAGAGTACAAAAGTACAAAGGGTGAAGGCTAAACTATTATCAGTGACTTTTATCTGTAGTATAAATTAATGTATTTGTATTATCCAAAGAGTAGATGATAATATCGACAGAAGCCACAAAGGATTTGAAAAGATTAAGGTTGGCGGGGGGCGGGGAGGTGGATCCTTTGGTTTAGAGACAGAAAAGATAATAGCAGCCTGACTTAGATTTTTTTTTAAAGATTTATTTATTTATATTGGAAAGGCAGATAAAAAGATCTTCTATCTATCCTCTATCTTTATCAAAGCCAAGCTGATTCAAAGTCAGGAGCCAAAAGTCACCTCAGATCTCTTGCCAGGTGTAGGGTCCCAAGGATTTGGGCTGTCCTCGACTGCTTCCCCAGGCCACAAGCAGAGGGCAGGATGGGAAGCAGGGCCACTGGAACTCGAACTGATGCCCATAGCGGACCCCGTTGCATGCACAGTGAGGACTTTAGCCACTAGGCTACTGTGCCAGGCTCTGACTTAGAACTTTGAAGAAGTCAATGGTATAAGGATTTAAGCCATGTCTAAATCTCTTTATGTCTGAGCCATTCTGAACATGGCCGTCTTCAAATAAAACCTGCCAACTTTCAATTAGCCCTGTTTCTATTTCCCTATATATCTTTAAGAAGAGAACCAATTCACTGTTCTAATTCTCAAATTTTTTGCAATGTTATTTGCTGCACAAATCAATTATAGGAAAGCAGCACAAATGCTTGGGAACTGAACACTTCTGTGGGAGACCAGAGATGGAACCCTAGGCTCCGGGCTGGGGCTTGGTCTAGCCACACTCATTATGGTCATTTGGGAAATGAATCAAGCTGTGGGAGATCTTGATTTCTCTCTTGGAGATAAATAAAATAAAACTTCTTTTAAAAAGATAAAAACAAAAAAAAAATTTGTTTGCAGGTCTTATTCTGGAAAACTTAGATTCAGTGTCTCAAGTAAGGAGCCCTGGAGGACATGTTGTTGAAAAATACTCTAGAAAATTCAGTTGTGCAGTCAAGTTCAAAAATGACCACTGTAAATAGGAAAAGGACAGACCATAAATGATATTCTGTTCCTACCAACTCCCCCTGACAAGGAAAGTGGGAAGTAAATCATGTGTCTAAGAAAATTTACTTTCCTAGAAAAAGACAACCCTGACCTGCGATCTGAGTCTTCTTGTGACTCAGAGAAGTTTGAAATCTGCTTTGGAGATTCCCCAGGTCAAGAGTAGTTCTGGTATGGACCTAAATTCTCTCTTCATAAACCCCATGACTGAGCCCGGCTTTTCATTTGAACTTGATTAGAAACAGTCTTGGCTTACCAGACCAAACATGATTCAGAACAAGAAAGCTGGATTTTTTTTTTTCCCATGGGCCAGGAAACTCTATAATTTTTCCAAGATTCTGGCTAAAATTAGAAGTGGTATGGTTTTGGAGTGATGACACCAAAGCCATTGGAAGGAAAGAAGAGAAGCTGGTCACCCCAATGGATGAATAGATCAGCATGTTTTTATACTGCTTTTCTCTGAATAATGTCAGGATTATGTTCTTGGTGGAAATCAGAGGCAAGTAGGATAAATAAGTTTGAAATAGGCTTTGAGTTTAATTATTTAATTTTGTATAGAAGGATGAAAGGCAGAGGGACATAGATACTGGATACAAAGAGAAAGATCTTCCATCCACTAGTTCACTCTCCAAATGCCCTCAATAACCAGGAGCCGAGAACAGAATTTGAATCTACCCCGTGAGTGAAAGGGATTCAAGCATTTGGGCTAGTACCTGCTGCCTTTCAGGATACGTGTTGTTAGGAAGCTGGAGTAGGAAGCAGAGCCATAGTCAAACTCAAGCTCTGCATTGTGGGGTCTGAGGCACAAAACACTTGTCCCAGGACAGGGATTGTTAAAAGAGAAATTTGTGCATACGATTTCTTAAATTCCCGATGTCCACATCTTCAGTGTATCTTCTTTTCCATGCAGTGTGATGAGAAAGTCTAAGGACTTGTTTCTGATGTGGGCTCGTTGTCAAGCATTGTCCATGTCAACGCCATGCAGTGGGTCCCTGGGGGCCACACATGATCTCACACTAATGCTCTTGGGATGTCTAGACATCGCTCAAATGCTGTCTTTGTCTCATTCACGTCTGCTACAACCAGCAGCTCTCGTCACTTCCCTTCTTAAGATTCTCTTTAACTTCATCCCAGATTTTATTCAAGTGTTTGAAATTAAGTGTCCCAAACTCTTTGATTAAAAGAGAGATGCAGAAAATGTGTCCCTCCCCGCCCCACACGCCTTGGAATTATTCCAGTAAAGATGGATCATCTCATAAAGTGTAAAATGAAAATGAAATTAACTTTATAGCCAGGGTGATCATTCACTGAATGACCTAGACAACTCTCTCACTCCGTCTGGTCTCCAGTTTCCTTGTCTCACAAGTGTGAGATCTCCCGGGATCTTTAAGCTTTGATATGTTGAAGGTGTTTTGAGCGTGAGAAATTGGCTATAAATCTCTTTTCTGAGCAAGTCTGTCCCTGTGCAGAAATACATCAAGTTGTAGAAGTAAGTAGTTTTGGAGACAGGTCAGAATGTAGAGTTAAATTCTCCTGAAACAGAAGCCTGATGAAACTGCCTCCTCCAGGAAGTTCAAGGGTGTTTCAGGCTTGCTTCCCTTCCCCCTGCTCAAGCCCTTGGTTCCTGGCGACACCTCCTTAGCTGCCTGTGTTTCTGCTGCGGACTGCGTAATTATTCAAAGGATTGTCAGCGTGCATCCTGAAGAACAACTTGGACTTTGGAGTTCGGCCATACTTGGCCAGATCCCAGTTTGGCCTCTGCAGGCTCATAGCCAAGCTACATAATCTCCCTGAGCTTGAGTTTGATCACCTGTGCACTGGGAAACACAATGCCCACAGCGCAGTGTTCTTGCAATGGGGAGAGGTGCAGTGCCCCTGTGAAGGGCCGAGTACAGTCACCATCAGGAAGAGCAGTGCTGTTGTCACTGTTTTTCCCTGTGTCCCTAGAGCATGATTTCTCCATAGCAACACCACTGGCCTGTTGGGTCAGGTCATTATCTGTGGCAGAAGACTGACACTTTGCAGTATGTGGAGTAGTAATGTCCCTGGTCAGTATCCCTTGGTTTCCAGTAACATCATCCCTCTCCCTCATTCTTGGTCATTTGAAAAGTGTCCAAAATTGCTGAATGAATCCTGGGGGACAAAACTGCTTCTGATTGAGAACCTCTGCTATAAAGGCTGGTGTTATGAATGTTGGTATTAAGATGAAAATCTTGCATCAAGGTAGTTTCGGAACACAGAACCCTAAAAGATGTCTGACGGTAACATGTACAATTCTCAAAGAAGAACGATAGCATTTCCATTGCTTGGAAACATCAGGCCCTCTCTTAAGCACTGAGGCTTGTAAATCAATTCTGAGTTTAAAAGAAATGGTTGCCTGTTTCTTTTCTTCTTCTTCTTTGACATCCAATGCTGTGCTCATTTTGCAAAGGCAGTATTTTTATGACAGCTTGTAATTCCATAGAATCTAGGACTATGCATAACTGAAATGTTACCTGAATCAGCTTCTTTCTGATGCTTGAATGTGCAATGGACCGGGCAGAGTGGGAGTCGATGCGCAGCTTCTCCTTGACGGCTGAAAGTGACAGGGAGCACACTTCTCATTTGCAGCATCCTGCTTTGGCATGCAAGTTGTGTTCCCTGTAGTTCCCTCCTCTCTCTGGTTCCCACCCTACCCTCCTGAGACAACGCTGAGCAGCCCCTCTCCACACGGCGTGGGCCCCATGGCACAATGGCTCAGTGGCTAAATCCTTGCAATGCATGTGCCAGGGTCCCACATGGGTGCTGTTTCATGTTCCAGCTGCTCTACTTCTGATCCAGCTCTCTACTTGTGGCCTGAGAAAGCAGTGGAGGACAACCCAAGGTCCTAAGACCCTGCACCCACATGGGTGAC